TAACTAATTTGCATTTAAAAACAATTAGAGTACATAAAAGTAGAGATTTTAAGCTTCAAAATGAGCTAAAGCAGAAGCATTTTTAATCATTTTTAAAGAAGTTATGACACTTTGAATTTTGCCATTTTTTTATAAGTTTCTAGGTGTACTGATACTTTTGAGCGGTACTGTATATATATATATATATCACAATAAAGAAAATTAAAAAACATAATAAGTCTTATTTACTGCGCATAAGCTGAAGTATATAGAACTCATAAACTAAGTTAAAAATATAGAGAAAATATGGAAAGTAATATAATAAAGATTAAGGAGGAGGCAAGAAGAAAAATTACTTTAAAAATTATTTTTTTTTTAAATGGGGAACCGTTGGCTTAGATGTTTATGTCCAAGCAGCAAAATGGAGACACATTGACATTTATAACCTGCATTAAAAAAAAACTTTATATGTTCCGTTTTTTAGTTGCATGTAGATTGTGCATGACCAATTTATATTTTATTACATACTTATTAATTCATTTATGTCTATCTTTTTGAAAAACCCTTTACATGTCAGATTAATGACATTTCTGTATTTTAAATTTATACAATAATTTTATCTTTTAAAACAAATTTGACAAAACTATAAAATAATTCAACAATCAACACTAGCAGATATTGATTTAGTTATTTAAAAATAACAAAAGTTAGATTTTTTACATGTCTTATTACTCATATTTTATAGTAATTAACATTTTATATATATTTTGAAATTTCCTTCCTCAGCAGCATTCAAAATGTAGAAAATAACTGATTTCTGTTTTTATTTAATTATATCAATTATTAGAATAGAAACTCTTCAGTTTTCAATATTTTTATAAATATTCTATACAGATGCAATCAACATGTACTAACTAGTGGATTAGCATTTTGCTAATCTGCATCCAGATTAAAAATTTATTATTATCCTGCATCCAGATTAAAAATTTTAAAAAAACCTTCAGTTAAAAAACTTCAGCTTTACTCATCTTCAGCTTTAAGAATTTTAAATACTCTTTTTAAACACATAATTTACACGTCAACCACCTATTTTGCATGAAAATCAGCTAATTTCTATTTGTAATAATGTATCCATACTTAGTTAAGAAAATGTTCAGCATTTCAACTATCTAACTTAAACTATCTATTAAACTATTGCATGTTTTTAAATACAATATTCTATTCAAATTACAAATGCAGAGATTTACTGAGAAAAATAGTACATTTAAAATGTATTGTACATAAATAATAATGAAGTTTAAAATTAAAGAATAATAAAAATTTCTTACCAGTCCTCTAAATCTCATATTACTTCCAGGAGATAACGATCCTGATCTCTGTTCAGAATTCTCGACAGTTTGTGTATCACAGTCTGACTTCCTGGTAATCTCTCTCAACTCAGGAACAGTTTGGACAGTTATAGTAATAGGTTCATCTGAGGATTTTATCAGTTCTGATATCTCCTCATTACTTTTATTTTCCACAGATATTTCGTTAACTTTCAGAAGTCGCTCTCCAGACCACAGAACACTTTTGCTGGTTTTCTTGGCATTACTTGGATGAGGAAATATATCTGCATTCTTACAAATAGAATGAGTTCTTACTGGTGCTGGCAGACATGTTACCGGAGGCAATCTAAGATTGGAGGCATACGACTTCCATCTCATTCCGTAACCTCCCTGTTCACCAGGTGGCACTTGTGACGGTGGTGCAGACGGAACACTTGGTTTGGCAGGAATAGAGGCCGCAAAGATATCACTACTCGGGTTGTTCATTTGATCCATAAAGGCAAGCATCTCATTAGTTAAGTTAACTGGACCAAGATGAAGGGATGCCATAGAATATGTACTCCCCTGTGGTGATGGGGTTGTCTCAACATTATTAGTCGATTGGTTTGGTTTTACGAGCAAAGTAGGCTTCTTTGGTATTGGAGGTGGCTTTCTTGATGGACTCCCAGATTTATTAGGATCAAGAATCATGCTGCTAGCTGATGGACTTGTATCATGAGGAGAGTTTAGGCTATAATCGCTACTATTACTTTGCTTGTCAAATGAGTCATCTTTTGAATGTCCTTTACTGCTTGTAAAGCTTCTTCGCACTTCATCTAAACGCTTAAGTTCATCAGCAGTCAAGCTTTCTTTTTCAATAGTTGATTTACGATCCTTACGATCCTTCTTGTCTTTCTTCTTTTTGTCCTCCTTTTCCTTGTCTTTATCTTTTTTCCAGCGAAACATCCTGTCAAACAGAAAGGAAAAGAATAATAAGGAAGGGTGTATTTATTTTTGAATTGAATTCTTACAACAATTTAAATTTTTTTTTCAGTGTAAATGTTAATAAATTATGAAAACAAGGAAAAGTTCAATTAAAACAATAAAATTTCAGTCATTTTAAAATGTGGTAAACTTAAAATTTTCAAAAATAGTTTACATCAGTCCCTCATAAAAATTTTGTACAGTAGGGAACCGATTATCCGGAACGATCGGGATCATCGCTATTCCGGACAACTGATTTTTCCGGTTTTCTGAATCGCTACAAAAACCCGTTTTTTTATTGTTAAACCCAACAAAAAAAATTTTGTTTTTTTTTGGAAATAATCTTAAAAAGAAGAGAAAACGATGAAGGAATACACTAATGATTATTTCCAAAATGATGGTTAGGTAAACATCATTCAAAAAAGAAATAAAAATCCTAAAATCTTATGAGGAAAAAAACATTTTTCTAAAAAATTGCGGGAAAATTTATCGAATTTCGTTCCGGTTTTTTGGTTTTCCGGTTTTCTGATTTCCGGATAACGGGTTCTGTACTGTATTTCTAAAATAGGCTTCTTACAGCACAGCCAGACCACTAAACTAATAGTTTTAGTCTACAAATGACAAAAGCAAAATGTAAAAAGTTCTCAAAAAACTGTTTTGCTCCTTTTTGGACATAAAAGTTTTTATAAATTTCCTAAAAAATTAAAAATTGGGCCATTATGGGCATAATACAAAGTTTTTAATTTTTTTTGACACATGAAAGCTACAAAAAATTGTAGTATGTATAACTAACTTTACACTGTAATGGAGCAAATTTTGCTGCAAGCAAAGTATCACTGAGTTGATGATATTTCAACTGTTTGGCGATACATTTCCATTTAAAAAAAGTGGGTATAATGGATGAAATAATTTAAATTAAGAAAACTAGTAAATAATTTAAAATAGTGAAATTAAAAAAATTATCAAAGGAAAATTTCCAGCTTTTCTTTAAAATTCCCTGATTTTTCCAGGTTTTTATCCAAATTTCCCTGATTTTTCCAGGTTTTTATCCAAATTTCCCTGATATTTCCAGGTTTTTTCCAGTATAAAAAAAATTCCCTGATAATTCCAGGTTTTCAAGGTTTCCCAGGTGGGTGGCCACCCTGCTATAATATATTATTAGTCTGTACACACGGTAAAACATTCACCCAACTGCTTATGTGTCTCCATTAAAATTTTATTTTTAAAAAAAAGTTCAGTTAATTTAAAATAAAAAATCCTAATACAGAAAAAATGAATTATCAGAAGTATGAGGAAATATGTTTTTTTGTGACAAAAAAAAAACAAAAAAAATTAAAAACAGCATACCATTTTTTTATATTGATCACTAGACAGAGGGACTACTAATGATTATTTTATGGTGGTCCAAGTCAAATTTAGTGGTCTTGGAACAATGAGTCATTAATTTCGAGCCCTGATTTTTATAGGCAGTATATACATATATACGTAATGTTAAAACAACTATATATTACAGTACAGAACCCGTTATCCGGAAATCAGAAAACCGGAAAACCAAAAACCCGGAACAAAATTTGATAAATTTTCCCGCAATTTTTAAAAACAAATTTTTTTTTCCTCATAAGATTTTAGAATTTTTCTTTCTTTTTTGAAAGATGTTTACCTTACCATCATTTCAGAAATAATCATTAGTGTATTACCTCATCATTTTATCTTATTTTTAAGATTATTTACAAATATATATATTTTTTTAGTTGGGTTTAACACTAAAAAAACGGCTTTTTGTAGCGATTCAGAAATCCGGAATGGTGATAGTTCCGATCATTCCGGATAATCGGTTCTCTACTGTATTTCTAATTCATAAATACAACTTATATCTAATACACAATTAGTTAAAACCACCTTTCCCTGAATAAAAAAGAGATAATATTGATCTAATTATCTCAAAAAATGTAATGATGTATCTTTAGTAGCGTGGGAAATTGATTGAATTCCACATTTCTAAGATCTATCAATATGCAAATATCTTATCCAGAAAGATATAAGAACCCCTTTTCCAAAGTCAAATCACCACTATTGTATCTAGTTGCCAGAGGTATAATGTTCTCATTTATGGGCCTCCGGCCCTTCCTTAAATAAAATTCTATTTTTCACCATGTTCCTGTATATATTTTAAAAAATGCCAGCTATACAAAAAATTACACTGTTAGTACTTTCAAAGCTTTCATATATGTATAATTTCTCTGCGACTAAATGTTATTCCATTGATGGTCAATCTTTTTGTAAAGAATGCTCTACACGAATAAAAAAATTATGCAAGTATGCATTTGACTTCCAATTTATTGAAAAATATAAAAATGTGAATGTAAATATTATGACAAACTAATTATGGTACATTAAGCAAATAACTATTTTTTTTTTAAATTTATGTCTGAGTAGATGAAAGTTTAAAAAAAAATAACAATAATAAATAAAACTAAAGTAAAAACTAGTTTTTTTATTGTAAAAAACAATTTTTTAATAATTAGCTCATTAGGTTAAATAAAAAATAAAATTAATTTATTTATTTCTAAATAATTGAAATATAGTTGTCAGGGTTGCCACTCAAATCTGGAAAAAAAATTCCCTGTGTTTTCCCTGTACTATTATACACAATATATTAAAAGAAAACAACAATTACTGTGCTGTTTTGTGAGCTATATAGGGCTAACTATATTTATTAGTTTTAATTGGTGGGAAAACAGCTGAACATATTTAAATAATGTTATAGTAAGTGAAATAGTTTAGTATAGCTGAAATATCATGGCTAAATATCCCATAGATTACGCTTTGAGTGGGTACCATTTTTTAAAAGACAAAAATAAGAAACAAAATTCCCTGTATTTTCCCAGTTTGCAAGNTCCATGTTCCTGTATTTATCAAAAACCGCCAGCCATACAAAAAATAACACTGTTAATGCTTTCAAAGCTTAATATATGTATAATTTTCTATGACTAAATGTTATACCATTGATGGCCAACCTTTTTGTAAAGAATGCTCTATCTCAGGGGTTTCCAACTTACATACAACTTACATTCACCAGTCAAATGGCGGGCCACAACTTCATCAAAAATTTAGGGACTCTTTTATGAAGGAACATTAAATATTGCTGTACATTAACAATTAACATTTTTTTTCTCGACTTATTAGGAATTATAGCAAAAAAAATTTCTCGAGCATCTGAAATTAATTTTTTTTTCCTTTTCCGCCCACGTAATATTCAATTCAAGGAATGTAAATAAAACATGATATTCATTCCCTCTTATATGCATTTTAAAATTTACAAATATAAATAATTTCGTCCAAAATGAGTGGTTACAAAAAGATAAATGAGAGAATTTCTGAAACGCACATACTAAATTATATTCACAAAATACAAAAAAACTAAATAAAAAAGTGCTACACACACGATTACTTTTGTGTTTGAATAAATATTTTCTTGGATGCAAAATCTGAGAAATAAATTTTTTGCACCGTTGGTATGTTAAATTTCATATAGAAACGAAGAAATTATGTTTTTTTAAAGTGAAAAAAAAGTATTTTAAGCCCATATAGATTTTTTACAAAAATTGTACAGAAGAAAAAAAAAAAAAAACGAAAACTAATATATTTCAGTTTGCAGGCCCCAAAAAAAGGCTTCAAGGGCTGGATGCGGCCTGCGGGTCGATAGTTGGTAATCACTGATATCTGAATAAAAAAAAATGCAAGTATGCATTTGACTTCCAATTTATTGAAAAACATCAAAATGTGAATGTAAATATTATGAGAAGCTAATTACGGTATTTTTACCCAAATAATAATTTTCTTTTTTAAAAATTTATGTCTGAGTAGACCAAAGTTAAAAAAAATAAAATTATAATAAATAGAACTAAAGTAAAAACATTTTTATTGTAAAAACCAACTTTTTTTATTGTAAAAACCAATTTTTTTAATAATTAGCTCAATAGGTTAAATAAAAAATAAAATTTTTTTATTTCTAAATAATTTAAATATAGTTGTACTAGCAGCAAGCATTGTAACACACAAGTTATGTTTCTACGCATTTCAGGTAACTCCTGATTGATACAAAGACTACTTCCAAATAGTCAGTCTTCACATGTAACTGCTAAAACTCTCCCAAGTCACATTTTTCAATAGGTGCTTCTTGGTTGGCCACCTAGATGACAGACTATTGAATGAAATTAAATTTAAAGACAGACATAGACATAACTCACTTTCAAGTACTGAATTAAACCTAAGGAATGAAAACAAATTTTCTCCAAGATTTCACTTCATTTTCTTCAGTAAATCTAAAATAAAATAAAAAAAGTTATTTATACAATAATTGTTTGGGACACCAAGAATTAAATTCAAACAAAATTCTAAAAAAAATTATGCCATTGATTTCGGCATAAAATTTTGACAGAATTGTCGTTTGCAAAAATTAAATCTAGGTAAACTAGGTTTCAAAAAAAAGTACTACTATTCTATTTGAGGGACAATAGGAAAAGTTGCAGAACGCAATAGTGATCCTCAAATGATAGATATGACTGGGTTTGTGGTGAACGGTTAAACGTTATCTAATATACTAGCATAAGTACAGTGCTAAAAAACTTTTTAAGTTGTCTCAAAATAGAATAGTAACAAAAAACTTCATTAAGTTTTCAATAAATTTTAACCCTGATAAATTAATATGAACAAAAAATATTAGATTTCTCGTAAAAAGAAAAAATTTAATATTTAAATTGTCCTTTTGAAAAAAAATTTTTTGAAACTATAATATTTGAGAACTTAAAATGTTCCTTTGGTATATGTAGACTGGTATATGTTGAGATATATTACACATATATAGAATATATATAGTGTAGTGTAGATATAGAATGTATGTAAGGAATATGTAGAAAAATACATAGATAGTAAAAAATCTAAATAATACAAACCTTGTAACCCAAGGTTTTGAGTTTTATAACAGTAATATTAATATGACAGCAATATTAGTCTGGAACATTTCAATCATAAAATGCTTTAAAACAATTTTTAGTTACAAATACTTGACATTTTTTAAAAGAGAAAAAAAAACATAGAATTGAGTTAGATAGATCTTCTACCGTAATATATACATGGGAAACTTAGTTTCATGGTCCAAAACTTAAGAATATTTTATCGAAATATTTTTCTTTTTGTTACATCTCATTTTTTGAAAAGAAAAGTTGATGTTTGTATTTTCTTAACACAGAATGTTTTGATTAAGAAACATAACAAGAATGTAATTAAATTAAAACTCTAAAGATGTATATTGGCACAAGATAAATTACTTTCAAGAGATAAACATTTACTCAAGTACAGAAATGTTGTGAACAAGTTACTTAATCATTGTTAAACTTTAATATCAGTGACACCTGTGGCAGAATCGCAGCGACACGGTGACATTGATGCAGAACGTTACAGAGTTCATGCAGAAAGATTTTTCTTTCGGGAAGAAAAAATTTTAGTTTTCATTTTTGCAGAAATTTACACGTAAAATTTGAATCGCTCATCTAAATAAACACTTGTTCTGGCGTTCAATTTACGCTGATAGTATCATAAATCAATAGAGTGGTTCGATTATATTTTCGGCAGTTATTGATTTTCACATGGTTTTTAATTATCCTGATATATTTCAGATAATGTGGAAATTCGAATCGTGCATTCGAGTATTTAATTTTTAAGGCAAGGCTTCTATAATTTTTTTGGCAATTATTGCTTTTGATTTCCATATAGTTTATAAAATCTGATATTATTTATTACAACAATCAGACATTGAATATGAATTTGAGTAACCCCTTTTGAAAAATCCAATTCGAGTGTCTTCGTCGTCAATTTGTTTTTCGGTAATTACAGCTAGGGTTTCATGATTTTTAATTTTTTTTCTTTAATGTGATGATTTTCAAAATGCAATATTGGAAAGAATTAGTGCGGTTGTCTCCCCAACAAAAAGTTATAATATCGCCCATAATATTAGAATAAAAAAATATTACATATTAAATGAAAATAATTCTATGTTGTTGTTTTTTTTTGTAAACACAGTGCTTTTTGTTAATTTAAATCAGTAACATATATCTTTGTTATTATTGAAACCATCTTGCAGATGGATATGAGTGCTAGAGAGTTTCGTCGCAGAAAGCCTGNATTCCCCTCTATAGATGGTCTTAAAAATAGTTATATGATCGTTTCTACCCACATTTGTTTCATTTTCATTTGTCCGTTTCGGAGTAGAAGATATTGGCTTTACAAGGTATTTGTCCATCTTACATTAACGAGCAAAAACTTTTAACGTCTTACATGAAGAAACCTTACCTACAGTAAACATGTGGGTGCAGAGAAATGCGTTCTGAAAGAGGTTCCGTGATTCGGAAGGACGGTGTTCTGTTGTTCTTAAAGGTTCTGAACAATACTGGTAAATAGGGAAGAGGGATAATGGGGCAGATGTTGAAAATAATAAAAGATCCAGGAAGAAAAGTGAAACGGATTTTATTCTAAATGGCGCAAAAGAGAAATTTTTTTCAAAATGCGAGAAAATCGCGAACTTTGAAATTTTTTTATAGAATGCGCGAATTTCTCGCGGTAATCATTTTTTAATGCGAGAATATAAAAAAATATGCGAGATTCTCGCGTTCTCGCGCTGCAGTGAAAACACTGGTAACCCCTTTTGAAGAATTCAATTCGAGTGTCTTCGTCGTCAATTTGTTTTTCGGTAATTACAGCTAGGGTTTAATGATTTTTAATTATTTTTTTTAATGTGATGATTTTCAAAATGCGATATTGGAAAGAATTAGTGAGGTTTTCTCCCCAACAAAAAGCGATAATATCGCCCATAATATTAGAATAAAAAAAATATTACATATTAAATGAAAATAATTCTATGTTTTTTTGTATTTTTTTTTTGTAAACACAGCGATTTTTGTTAATTTAAATCAGTAACATATATCTTTGTTATTATTGAAACTATCTTGCAGATGGATATGAATGCTAGAGAGTTTTGTCGCAGAAAGCCTGAAAAAATTCCGCCAAAGGGTCAGTGACCCAGAATGAGGAGCCCTTTCTCACAGAGGTAGGCATCCCTCTCAAGGCTAATAAGGACATTCTCCTAAATTATACAAAAATCTTCCCTATTTTACCAAATACGAAAAATACATAAAGTTTACAATTTTTTTTTAGTTACATATAAATACGAGGCAAATCTCATAATTAAGTATCTGTTAGTAATAACTTGCAAAACATTATTTTGAGAACACAAAATTAAAATGATGAAGAAAAAAAAAAGCACTGGTAAAAAGTCCTGGAAAAATTGAAAAAACAAAGATTCGCAACAAAAAACTGACAAAGTATATTGTTGTAATATGTTGTTTGCTTTAAAAATTACATAAATTTAACAGCTCATTAGATTTAAGACGTTCAACAAGAATTTAATATCATTAAATCTCTTTTTAATTGATTTAGCTTTTTTTTTTTAAATTCATATTCAAAGATTAGTATAGAGTTTACAAGAAGGAACCTTAAAATTTTTTCATTTTGTTATTGTATATCCAAGACATAGAATGCATCAATTCACAATAGTCTTGAAGGAGAAGTTAAATATATCGACAAAAATAATGAAGTGTTTTGTTTTAATATGTATAAAAGAAACTTGTTAAAAAAGTATTATTTGTACAATATGATTATTACATCACAATACAATGTTTATTATAAGAATTTAAAAAAAAAAAAAAAAACAATCAAAGCTCATAACAGTCCTAAACAGGCACCAAGCCTAATCTTCTTAGAACAATAAGCAATGATCTATACCATTAAAAGTTAGTTTAAATTAATATTGCTTGAAATGTTGTAAAAGTAAGAGCAACAAATATTACTGATAGGAATAGTAATAATAATGAAGAATTTAATCAAGAAGAGCACGAAAACCCTTTTAATTTATACTATGAAAAAAACTGTAAAATGTACACTCTTACAAAAAGCAAAAAAAATAATTTTTTTTTTTTTAAAAAAAACAGGTTGGTACACAAATAGGCATGAGTAATGAGGACATTTTCATCATTTGTTGCAATAGTTCCTTATCATTTATCCTCCTGTGTTTGGCCCAGTGTTTTCTATCTCTTTATTCATCAAAGATTTTAAAAAAAATATTAAATAAAATCGAATTTAATTTAACAATTATTTATTGGGAGTTAAAATTTCAATCATAAATTAATGACTACTAATGTAAAATAAGTAATATTCTGTAATAGTTTATTTTTACACTAATACTTTGCTATCATATATGGATAAAAAAAAAAAAAATAAGCTACTGCATTTACAAAAGATTATTTTTGCAATTATTCAAAAATACCTAGTAGTTATTTGTCATAAAATTTAATCTCAATGGAAAAAATTATTCCCATCCAAAAAAAATGGCTATGGCAATTCGCCCCATGCTTACATCTGCAAAATCCAATGGACAACAGACCACAAATACTGGAGAAGATTTTTCAGGAAATTAGTCCCATCTCAAAATGTTTCATATTCGTAATTTAAAATAACATTATGATAATAATTAATGATAAAATAATATTAACTTACATTCACAGGGGTCTGTTTAGAAGAAATTTGGGNAGAAAAAATTTCATCTGTTGCGCTTACATGGGCCCCTGATGGTAAAAGAACTAATTGAAGACCCAGACTTACCATCCAGCGCATGTTTTTGGGCGAATTAAAAGAATGTGGAATATCTGGCTGGGAGGAAGCAAGATCTATTGCTAAAGACAGGAGGCGTTGGAGGGATATGCTAGAGGCCTTAAGTGCCCAAGGCACGTAGAGGATAAGTAAGTAATCAGGAAGAACACGAAAACCCTTTAAATTTATACTATGAAAAAAACTGTAAAATGTACACTCATAAAAAAAGCTAAAAAAAAAAATTTTTATAAAAAAAAACAGGTTGGTACACAAATAGGCATGAGTAATGAGGACATTTTCGTCTTTTGTCGCAATAGTTCTTTATCATTTATCCTCCTGTATTTGGCCCAGTGTTTTCTATCTTTTTATTCATCAAAGATTAAAAAAAATATATTAAATAAAATCGAATTTTAATTTAACAATTATTTATTGGGAGTTAAAATTTCAATCATAAATCAATGGCTACTAATGTAAAATAAGCAATATTCTGCAATAGTTTATTTTTAAATTAATACTTTGCTATCCTATATGGATAAAAAAATAAACTACTGCATTTACAAAAGATTATTTTAACAATTATTCAAAAATACCCAGTTATATGTCATAAAATTTAATCTCAATGGAAAAAAATATTCCCATCCAAAAAAAATGGCTATGGCAATTTGCCCCGTGCCTACATCTGCAAAATCCAAAGGACAGCAGACCACAAATACAGGAGAAAATTTTTCAGGAAATCAATCCCATCTCAAAATGTTTCATATTTGTAATTTAAAATAACGTTACAATAATAATTAACGACATCTTGATAAAATAATATTAACTTACATTCACTATTTCATCTCAATTAATATATGAAAATTCTATTCTTAATTGCAGCATAATGAATGAATAACTTTGTTCTCTTAAAAATAAATTGCAACTGATGAATAAGCAATAATAATTTGTTAATATTATTCAAAAGGTTACTGAATAATCCTATTATTAGTTTCAACATTATAAATGTATAACTTTCTGCTCCTGTAAAAAATTTCGAAGTAATTATTTTGTCACATAGTTTAATAAAGGGAGATTTTCGTATCGTGATCTGTGGCAGAATAATCCCCAAGTCTTGGAAACTTCCGGGCTGTGGCCCGCGAGAAACTAAAAAAAAAAAACGACACAGAAAAGGATCAACTCAAAAGGTATAACTCGTAGCCGCCCCCCGGCAAACATTTATAGCTTTTTTTCTTCAAATTTTTAAGTTTAAAGTCTATTTGGCTCCTTGGCGATTGTAGTTGGCGCAACAGATCACGATACACAAATATACCCTTTAATAAATAGTTATGAGGTAATTAAAACCATTAATAGCCCCCTCCACCTCAGATTCAATGCCCTTACAACTTGCATGTCCTCTAGAAAAATGTTTTCAAGAAATGTCAACCTAAAAAAAATTTTTAATCAAAATTCTGATATAAATTTTGAAGCTCTGAATCATGAAGTCGAACATACTCGATAGAGTAAACAGTAATATAATTAATTTGTGTTTAGTATGTAATAACTATTAGTTGCAAAAATTTCAAAATTTATAAAACTTGTACATTATGGTTGAATTAATTGCTCATAAAATAATTTTTATTATCATAAAATATCATTTTTTTATATCTAGAGTAAAATTGTTACCAACGCAACTTCATTCAAATCAAAAAAGTTAACATTTTAATGTAAACAACGATTTTTTCGAAAACAAACACGAGATACTTATGACAATTCTTGATCTTGAACTAAATTGTACTGACGATAAAAAAAAAGTTTACAAAAATATGAAAACCTCTTGAAAGTAAAAGAGGATTATAAATTAAATGGAAAATGGGGAATTTCATATTAAATGGAACCTCTAGAATTGAAAGTTTTCAATGTTTCAAACTACCCAACAGGTTACATTACGCATCGATTATGCTCAATTTAAAATCTAATGCCTGATGACATCGTGACGAATACACTGAGAATGAAGAAGAATATCGAAAAATATCCTCGATTAGTTGGCAAAAACAAATAACATTTAAATTCTTATCTAGTTTCTGTGATACCTTCCTTCTTCAACTATTAATCTAAGCACAGATCTAAAAATTATTCAGATGAAGAATGCATTTTAATTTTACTAATTTTCTTCCAATTTAAAAACCATTAAAAATGCTAAAAGATCAAGTTAAATCGAAATATTTAGTTTATTAGCTGTCAAAATATCAAATACCGAATGGATGAAAGATCGCGTTTTCGAACTCGCCGCAATGGGAAATGGTTGCGAAGTGTCAAAAACACACAAAGCAAAAAACGGAAATATAAACCATTCCCATAAACATTAAAACTTTCGAAAATCAAACAGAAAACATAGTTACCTAGTAATACTTGTAATAAAACTCACAAATTATTACCGGAAGATGATAGTAAAAACGTCACATCCGTCACACCTGTTAAAACGAAACAAAAAACAAATAGTTTTCTTGATTTCACTTTACGTCAATTTAATCGATTTGATAATTAAGGAAAAAATTCCGATATCTGAAAATTTACTAAAAACTTCCTTAAAATAATTAAGTGCTGAACTTGTATTTTTAAAAAATGCTTAAAATTTTAACTAGCTGAGTAAAATTGGATATCCATATTTGATCATGGAACAATGTGACAAGTATTCTTTTATCCATTTGTAGTTTTTCTTTCGAATTAAATTAAACAATAAAATAAATCATATTCAAAAATACTTAAAAATATTACTTGAAACCAAAAGTGAAACAGATTATTTTTAATCGTATGGCAACAGAATGACAATTCATGAAATGCGGCCATTTTCTGCTGTAGTGGGTGTTGCGTGACTGACATTTTAAGAAACGAATTAAGTCTGTTACTTTCCATTTAATTGTAACTCCGACAGTACTTACAATAAACACTCTCTAAAATCTCATTAAGAACTAAATACCTTTAGCATTTGAAAGAATTCCTGTCTATAGTGAGAGGTATGGCCGACCGGGAAGATAATGTCTACAAAGCCAAGCTTGCTGAACAAGCAGAGCGGTATGATGGTGAGTAAAATATACATATTGTATACTTTGCTGAAACACTATCATTTGATAAATACTACAGCTTTTAACTTAAAGCTCTGATTACATTATTAAACTGGATTGCATAACTATTAACCATGTCATAATGGCCAATAGGTTATCAACCCTAAAGTTTCTGCGTGCCATAATACGCATTAATCTCTAATTATTTTTAATTATTGCTAAAAAAATTCTGTGTGATACTGCTGCTATGGAAGTCAATTAATCAAAACTATCGTCGATTTCTTAATTCGAATTTAATAATTCATCACTTCAGTTTCCTCATGTGATAGATGTAACTGTCAAAATTCGAAATATTTAAGTATACCTCTACTTTTTGTAAAAATATATCAGTAATCCTTTCTTTTACCCTCATTATTAGGTTTTTAATATACCACAAACAACTTTCAGTAGTATTAAATGAATATTTTTATCTGTATCTTGTTAATCAATTCAATCTATATCAGATATTAATTAATCCTCATCATATCTGTAATTCAAATTATTAAGCTGTTACAATTAATATCTGGAATTGTGTAATTCCTTCCCATTTGTTATTAGTTTTGCATTGGTCTAACAAAACATTTTGTCTTGCATAACAATTACCCTGCCTAGTAATTTGGCAGAAAGTTTAAAATCTATGCTATCTTTCTTTTATTATATTTTTATAATTTAAATTTAAAAGAAATTTCTGGATTGTTTCTGTACTGGTCTCTAATTATTTTGAGAGAAAAAAAATTATGAAATTAAATTTACAAATCTAAGGTTTAGTTAAATAAATTTATAATAGTGAAGTCATTTTTCTTTTGCATCTTTTTTAATGTTTTTAAGATAATGTATTAAACAGTTTTGAGATAGTTATTGGTACTAGTCTAATTTGATTCATTATCTGTATTTTTTCTATACCATTAAAGTGACATTTCATTGATAATGAAAAATTTATCAAAAGAAATAATTTATGGGCATAAAATTATATTTCTAGTATAGATTAATATATAGACTAAAAATCAATAAAGTAATGTTAAGCTGTCAAATTATAATTTTGTATTAGCTGTATGTATAACTATTTGCTGGTGATAAACATTTCAATTATATCTATTTAGTTTGTTTATTTGAATGCTTTATAAATTTTAATACACAGTGTTTATCAATATTGAAAAAAAAAAAACATTTCTGCCTTGAAAAACTTAGTTTTTTTTCTTCCAATTTGTGAAAGTTATTTTTTTTAAAAAAGAAATTGAAATTTAAGTACCTTAAGTTATTTGTGCCTGGCAAATTGGAGAAATATCTAAAGCTTTTTGATCTGAACTAAGTTGCTCTTCATTGGATACATGACAAATCACCTCCCTCTCTTTAACTGTGTTGTTAAATGCTGTTAGCACACTATATCAGATGATTAAATGTTGTTAGCACACTATATCAGATGATTTAGCTGATAAATATGAAAAACCGTTACATTTGCCAACCCTGCTTATTTCAATATTTAAATAGTAATCTGATGTAGTCACATATATTTGTTCTTTCTTCAAATCTATTAAATATCAAATTATTTTATCTTTGTTTCATTCATTATTTTTTTTTTTACTAAAAAGCAGGTAATTAAGGCATGTGCAAAGGACCTCAAATTATCAGCCAAATTTCTAGTCTTAGCCAAAGGCAAATTTTTACATTTTTTTTTTAATAATAAAAATATTTAAGTCAGAAAAATAAATTTGCTCTAAAGTGAACTGTTTTATAAAATACCAACACTGACATTTAAAAAACTCTGCGAAAATTGCTAATCATTGAAGGAAAAACTACCTGAATTTACGAGGAAATCCTACTGAATCCACCTTGTCAGAAACTGAAGATTCAAAATTTGAAACACTATTAAATATATCGCAGTTTGAAAATTCATGGAGATGACCAAATAGTTGGCAGAGTGAAAACTAAAAAACATCTTGAGTTGAAAAATAAGCACTTCAAGCAGTATGCGGAAGCAGAATTGCATTTGTATGGCATCATTGGTCAAAAGGGATGAAAATATGTTTGCCTGGTTTGTTTTTCGGGTGAAACTGATTTTTGAACTAAATGAATTCACATGAATTTCCAGTAATTTCGGGGTCACTACAACCCAGGGTTGGCAAGTTTTTGACACATGACGGTTTTTACCGTCATGTCAAGAACCTATAGTTTTGGTAAAACTATTTTTATTTGAATTTAACTGCTTATAATTTAAAATTAATTCATATTTTGGCAATAAAATTAGAAAAAAGTTGTTAAAAGATATTTAAGAACATATTCTTGCATTTTCCCAACATGATTATATCAAAACATACTATTTGAAGTAAAATATTAGGATACTAAACGAAATTTTCAACATTTCCTAGCATCATTTTGTTTGGCATATTACATTACTGAAGAATGTCAAGAATGATTACTTTCATTCATAAAATCTTGCTTTGAGAAACACTTGTACACATAAAAAGAAAGCCTCATAAAATAAACTTTTTTTATCAATTTTGCTTTCAATATTTTACACAGAAATGAGACATGAAAAAGCCTAGGAAACCCTTTTAGAGATACCTTGCAACAGCAATGTTAAAGGACTCATCCATACTAAACTCAGAAATCGACTGGGCAATGAAAAATGCGCAAAATTAGTCACTTGCTATCATATGCTTCGGCATCGTGACCCCGACTACTGAACATGTAATTCTGTTTGTAATTAGGTTTAGTTTAATGTGCTTTTTCAACTGAATAAAAGNATTCATGGAGATGACCAAATAGTTGGCAGAGTGAAAACTAAAAAACATCTTCAGTTGAAAAATAAGCACTTTCAAGCAATATGAATATGCGGAAGCAGAATTGCATTTGTATGGCATCATTGGTCAAAAGGGATGAAAATATGTTTGCATGGTTTGTTTTTCGGGTGAAACTGGTTTTTGCCAAGCGTTTTTAGTTCACATGAATTTCCAGTAATTTCGGGGTCACTACAGCCCAGGGTTGGCAAGTTATTGACACATGACGGTTTTTATCGTCATGTCAAAAACCTATAGTTTTGGTAAAACTATTTTTATTTGAGTTTAACTGCTTATAATTTAAAATTCATTTTTTGGCAATAAAATTAGAAAAAAGTTGTTAAAAGATATTTAAGAACAGATTCTTGCATTTTCCCAACATGATTATATCAAAACATACTATTTGAAGTAAAATATTAGGATACTAAACGACATTTTCAACATTTCCTAGCATCTTTTTGTTTGGCATATTACATTACTGAAGAATGTCAAGATTGATTACTTTCATTCATAAAATCTTGCTTTGAGAAACACTTGTACACATAAAAAGAAAGCCTCATAAAATAAACTTTTTTTTATCAATTTTGCTTTCAATTTTTTACACAGAAATGAGACATGAAAAAGCCTAGGAAACCCTTTTAGAGATACCTTGCAACAGCAATGTTGAAGGACTCATCCATACTAAACTCAGAAATCGACTAGGCAATGAAAAATGCACAAAATTAGTCACTTGCTATCATATGCTTTGGCACCGTGACCCCGACTACTGAACATGTAATTCTGTTTGTAATTAGGTTTAGTTTAATGTGCTTTTACAACTGAATAAAAGTTTTTAACTTGACAAAATGGCAGTAATTCTTGACTTAGAGTTTGCTAGTAATTACAAGTTTTGAAAGTTTTGTTTAGCTTATTTCTAATATTTAAGAAATGCCAAATTTTAAATTCTTCTTTTTAGTTTTTGAATTTATTAATAGTTCCAAGCTTTTTTGTTTGTTTATTTCTAACAATTAAGAAGTGCAAAATTTTGAATCCTTTGCAAATCAAGCTATAATGATAAAAGTAAGTATCACTATTTTCAATAAGTATATTGAAGTATATTGTTTATCCTTCTATAAGAATACATGTATACAGTTGCAAAATCAATAGCAATCATTTACAAAGGCAATTATGTAAAAATAATATATTGTTCGCTATATGCCATAAATAAAGAAAACAGTATGTTTTTGACGGTTTTTACCACTATCGTGTCAAAAACCAGTTTTTGACGGCAAAAACCCAACCCTGCTGCAACCTATTAGATTGTTTTGCTGAATTTACTATTTTATCCATTTGGCAAGATTTCGAATGCTTAAGCGTGGGTTCTGAATCTTTTTCTTTTTATAAATTAAAGATACATTAGTATATGTCTTGATATATGTTATTATTCTAGAAATGGTGGAAGCAATGAAAAAAGTTGCTTCTCTGGATCTCGAACTTACTGTAGAGGAGCGTAATTTACTGTCAGTGGCTTATAAAAATGTTATTGGAGCACGCAGAGCATCCTGGAGAATTATCAGTAGCATAGAGCAAAAGGAAGAAAACAAAGGTGAAAATACTAGATTGGAAATGATCAAGACCTATAGAATCCAGGTAATAAAGATTTATACTTTGATTTTGTCTTGTTTTATAATGACATTAAAATTCACAAATTATTTAGTCTTTTTGTGTTACTTTAATTGCAATTTAATAATGTCTTCTAAATATTTAGGTTATAGAAAGAAAATATAAAACTTTCAGAAAATAAATTAAGGAGAATTCAAGCCTAATGTATTTTCTTATTCATGTTAGTGTAGATAAAATCATCTGTATGAGGATTTTATTTTCCTGCCAGCTGTTTTATTTCATTTCTAATAAATCTAACCTGTAACTAATCAAAAGTGAAGTTTAAAAAAAAAAATTTGTTTAAAAATGAATATGGTAAAGTTTTTAAGATTTTATATGAACGTATATATGTTTATATATTATGAAAATTTACCTTTTCTGTGAACTGTAGATTTACAAATGTTAATTTTTAAGATCATGGAGCCTATAAAATCTTTCTTTAAATGTATTAATGCAAGTAATGCTAGTTGAACTTGATATACTTAAACTTATTTGTTAAATTGCTACTTTGTGTCTATATGACATCCCAATGTATATTTCACCAGTTTATTATTGTGCCTTAAATATAGATTAAACTATTTTTCTATTTTTAAAACCAGGTTTAGGTAGTTAAATTGCTCTGTTAGACAGGATAATAAAAGCACAATTCAAATATCTTTTTATTGTTAGTTGATGAGTACATCCTATTGTCAGGGATGAGATTTTTCCGCTTTTTAGCGGATTTCCGCTTTTTTCACTTTTATCACTTGAATTTCAGCTTTTTTGTCAAAAATTCAGATTTTCTAAAAATTTCAATTTTTTTATAAATATTCCGCTTTTTCAGAAAATTTACCGATTTTCAAAGAGAAACAGAAAATTCAAGCTGCATAGCTACCAAACCTTTCTCATTTTTACTTATTTTAGCTATTTTCTCTCCGTTTACTCACAGCAAATAAGATTTTCGGAATTTTTTACCCGCCCTCCAGATAGATCCGATTTTTGTAGTACAATCGACGCTGCTTCTGACAAGCCATTTAGAGGTCCCAAGCCTGGAATCTGCTAATATCTCGATCTNTTTGCAAGATCTAACAATATGAAAAAAAAAATTTTTTTTTTTTTATAAATCACATTTTTGGATACACATTAAATATGAAAAAATTCCATCAGTTTGGGAAAATGCGTATTATATTTCGACTCTCACATAAATGAAATTTATGACTGTTAACTAGTTTTAATATTGGAAAATTTTTTGAAAAAAAAAATTTTAAAAATTTGATGCCAAATATTTTTTTTTTAAAAATACCAATTTTTTTAATATTTTTCTCTGAAAAACTACAGATATATAAAATTTTTGAAATCAATTTTGACACTAAATATGCTTTATATAGTACGTGGAAGTACCATAAAATTAATTGGAGTATAAGATAATTACAATAACTAATAGTCTGCATTGAAGTAATGAAATACCGATTTTTCTACATACTTAATTATTTTTTATCTCTCATAGGACCCTCTATGGGCCGAAACGAATGTTGCCCCCTAAAATTATTCCTCATAAGGCATACATCCCACTAGTTTATTTCAAAATTGGCGAGTCACACTTCCCTAGTTTCCCTTGTGAGTGAAAAAAATAATTTTAGCTGAGACAAACTGAGCCAAAAAGAGATTTTAACTGAGACGAAATGCAATTTCTGGTGAGACAATTTGATATTTTGCGAGTAGCATCCCTGATATGATAAAGTTTTTAAGATTTTATATGAACGTATATATGTTTATATATTATGAAAATTTACCTTTTTTGTGAACTGTAGATTTACAAATGTTAATTTTTAAGATCATGGAGCCTATAAAATCTTTCTTTAAGTGTATAAATGCAAGTAATGCTAGTTGAACTTGATATACTTAAACTTATTTGTTAAATTGCTACTTTGTGTCTATATGACATCCCAATGTATATTTCACCAGTTTATTATTGTGCCTTAAATATAGATTAAACTATTTTTCTATTTTTAAAACCAGGTTTAGGTAGTTAAATTGCTCTGTTAGACAGGATAATAAAAGCACAATTCAAATATCTTTTTATTGTTAGTTGATGAGTACATCCTGGTGTGTTTTGTGTGTATATTTAAATTTCAATTTAAAGATATTGTTTGTTGATTATAATATAGGTAGAGATTTTGTGTTTAATGTTAGTCATTTTCCTTGTGCAGACACAATTTTTAATTAGGATGCCATCTGGCTGAATAAAAATAAAACAAAATGTTGTGATTTGAATCTGTCAATTTGAACATTTGCTTGAAATTGTTTTAGTGATGATTTTAGTCAGACAGGTAAGTTAAGACAAATGTTTATAACATGCAGACCTGCCAACTCTCCTGCTTTTGCCTCAAATCTTCGCCCTCGGGCCTTCAGGGTGTTTTCTCCTGATTTTTTCTATTTAGTGCAAGATAGAGGAAAAAACAACAATTTGTGCATTTCCTTCCCAACTTGTGCTTCAGATCATGCTAAGCATTTATTTAGAAAAATTTTGCCCTATAGCAACATCACTAAAAATTACGGTGAGTGTGAACCAAAACAGCAGCAATAACCAATGAACTTGCAAAATCTGTGTTGCCACTCACATCAAGTTTAACATTTCCGTCATGTTTTCTTCTAGTTAATTTTGTATTAGAGTTTGTGAAACTGGCAATTATATTTTATGTTCTTTTTATGTTTATAATATTAAGTTAGAGAACTTACGATACGTTGCGTTTAAGAGAATTCAATACGATTTTCATCTTTATGATGTAAATTTATGCATCCAACAAACCATGTAAATAATATATTGTAAATAGTCCTATTATTCTGAGTGTTGTACTGTAAAATAAAGTAATTAGAAGCAAAAGAATCTCGAGTCATAACAAAGTGACGTCCGTGACATAGACATTGTACTATGCATTCCGATGTGAAATAGAAGACGGCAAAATTACGAACAAGATATTACTTTGTTAAGAATAAAACAGGTACGGGTAATTTTGGCTGCTTCTGTTATATCTTTTTTAATGAAGTCTCCTTTTATGTAGAGTTTATACGTTTGATTTGAATTAAGTTTAAGAAAGAAAAATAACTCTAGATTTAGAATAAGTAGAAACTGAGGGCTTTTTAAGTGAATTTAGTTAATAAACTGACAAAATATTATTTACATTAAGAATATGGATGCTCTTAAAGTGAAAAGAAAGTCATTAAGAACAACTTTTACGACCACATCGAATAAGTTGGCGCAATATTTGGTGACACCGGAAACTGTTGCCAAGGATATTAATCAGTTGCACGCACTAAGGTCACAATTGCAAGATAAATTTTCTCGTTTGAATGAAATTCAAAATGAAATATCCTCAGTACTTTTAGAAAATTCTGAGACCGTTGCTGAATACGAAACTGACTTTGAAGCAGCGGAAAATTATAGAGATAATTATCTTGAACTAGACGCAAAAGTCGCAACTTTTTTAAATAAGGACTCTGGATCCATTGCCAAAAGTTCTTTAGAGGATAATGCCGTGAAACTAAAATTACCGAAATTTGAATTGAAGACATTTTCTGGTGACCCTAAAGAATATCTCACATTCTGGAGTATATTTTCAAATTATACCAATCTATGGTACCTGAGTCCAGAGCAGCAAGATTAGTTTCCAGTTTCCCAATAACAGCAGAAAATTATCCAAAAGCCATTAAACAATTAAAATTAAGGTTTGGTCGAGAAGATCTTTTAGTACAAATATACGTTCGAGATCTTCTTTCTCTTGTTATGAGAAATGCTACTGCCGGAAGGAATTCTTCTGATTTAGCTACCCTCTATGATATGCTGGAAACAAAGTTAAGAGCTTTGGAAAGTTTGCGACGTACGAAAGAGAAATTTGCTGATTTTCTAGAGCCTCTTGTAGAGTCATGCTGACCTGAAAATGTTATGCGAGCCTGGGAACGGAGTAGAATTTCTGAAAATACTGATGACGTTACCAGTCAGAGATCCCTCGAAAAACTAATGTGTTTCTTGCGCCATGAGGTCGAATCTGAAGAAATGATGGGTTTAGCTCGTGAAGGGTTTGGTAGAGATAAGGGAAGTGGCGAGAAACGAAAAGATTACCCCAAATCGATCCAAACAGATGAACCTGTTGCTACTACACTGAGCGCCAACATATCAGCAGGAAAAAACAATTGTATTTTCTGTGACTGTTCACATCCAAGTCAAGACTGTCAGAAAATAGCAGAAATGAGTTTTGAGGACAGAAAATCCCGAGTTATACAAAAGAGATGCTGTTTTGTCTGCCTCAAGTCTGGTCACATGGCAAAAGGATGTCACAGTAATGTAAGATGCTTAGTTTGTAAACGCAGCCATTACACAATACTTTGTCCAGATCTACATAAAGGAATTAATTCTTCATCTAAGGACAAAATAGCAGGTGATGAACAGAAATATTGTTTACGAATCGTCCTTCTGAACGTGAAATATATCTCAAAACAATTACGATCAGACTTCGAAACAGAGACAAGGAAGTCTGTGTTTGTGTACTAATGGATGATGGATCACAGCGTTCCTATATTGAAAAGAGTTTGGCTGAAGAACTGAAACTTTCTCCCTCTGGAAGCGAAGTGTTTTCTCAAGGACTGTTTGGCGGAGGAACTTCTCCTGCTTCAGAGCATAAGAGATATATGGTAACTGTTGAAAGTTTAAATCGCAAATATACGACTTCAATATCTCTTCTTGACCAGGCAAAGATTTGCTCAGAGCTACCAAGGATACAGGATAGAAGTTTACTTGCTGATCTAGCTTCTCGAGGAATAAAATTAACAGATGTTGGAAAAGATACGCCCCCTATAAGAGTTCTTCTAGGAGCTGATGTACTTGGAAGAATTCTGACTGGAAAAATAAAAGTGTTAAGATGGGGAGTTTCAGCCAAAGAAACCTTACTAGGTTGGGCAATCTTAGGTCTAGGAAGAAAAAAGGTTAACTTAGTCGCATTAAGTTTGCAAAATATGGAGTTGCCAAAAGTATGTGATTTAGACGTTTTAAGCATTGCAGATCCCATGGAAAGATCCAACAAGCAAGAACAATTCGACGTCGAATTGTACCCGTGAAACGAAAAAACTTGTGAATTATTCGTAACTTTTAATTTCTTGAAATGTTACAGCATTAGATTTTTGTATTGCTTCAGAGCAATACAAAGGTGGGAGTATGTTGCCACTCACATCAAGTTTAACATTTCCGTCATGTTTTCTTCTAGTTAATTTTGTATTAGAGTTTGTGAAACTGGCAATTATATTTTATGTTTATAATATTAAGTTGGAGAACTTACGATACGTTGCGTTTAAGAGAATTCTATACGATTTTCATCTTTATGATGTAAGTTTATGCATCCAACAAACCATGTAAATAATATATTGTAAATAGTCCTATTATTCTGAGTGTTGTACTGTAAAATAAAGTAATTAGAAGCAAAAGAATCTCGAGTCATAACAATCGGAGATATCTTGGACACCATTAGGCAAAATGTTTTTTCACTTTCTAATGATGCCAGTTTTTTTTTTTTTTAAATAATGCTAAATCAGCAGCATCTGCAGTTTTAAAACAGTAGCAGTTAGAAAAAAAAAATTTAAGAAATACATTTATAAAGTATTGTATTCATTATTGACATATTTTGTTAGTTTTGAACTTCTTACTAAATTTGAAAAAATCAAAAGATATGTTTTAATATAGTTCTATAGATCCTTATATTTTATAGTAAGAACACATATCTTTATTAGTCAGTGTCAGAATCTTATTGTGATCTATTTTATGTAATGTAAATAATATATTTTGAAATAAACTTCTTGTAGGAAGTGTGAATCAGGTTTGATTTTCAATATTGCGCTATGTCGTGATACAGAAAGAGTCTCCTGCTTTTTTATTTTCTAAGGTTGGCAGGTCTGAAATAATATATTTTGAAATAAACTTCTTGTAGGAAGTGTGAATCAGGTTTAATTTTCAATATTGCGCTATGTCGTGATACAGAAAGAGTCTCCTGCTTTTTTATTTTCTAAGGTTGGCAGGTCTGAACATGTAACAAATGCATCTTCCGAAGTTCTTTCGTGCCTAGTCTTCTTTAATATGCTTAAATTTTCTCTTTATTAAATCTTATAACAGATTTTTAAAGCTGTAGCATTTATATCTCTTGCCTGAATTATAACCAGGGTTCCCACTGATTTAAATGGACCTTTTTTTCTTCAGAAAATTGACTACTATTTATTTAATTTAAAAAAAGGGTATGGATTTATATCAATATTAGTTTTGGGGGGGGGGAGATTAAACACCAAGTTCGTCGAAAGCTGTGAATAGTCTGCTTTCAAGTTGATAGTAAATTGGAAGAGTTGTAAACAAAAAGTTTCAGGTGGCTATCATTAATGTGGATAGTAATGTAATCAAAGTTGTTGTGATGCAAGGACAAATTTGTTATTGCACTAATGGAGAGGAGTTATTAGGGTTTCAGTTAGGTACATAATATTTTCTGCAGAATTTGAGTTATTAGAATTTCATTTTAAGAATCAATTTTCTTAGACATTAATTATTTGTTTTTGTGCGAGCTAAATGTTAAGGTGGATATTCATTAATTTCATATTAATTTGAAATGCATTTTGTTAATGCATTTCAAATTAAACTTATTGATGTGAAGATAGTATTTTTGGGGTGTTAAATTGAGTAATTTAGTGTAGCAGTTCAAATTTTGAGTGTTGCAAGTTAAGTTTTCAGAAGAGAGAAAACTCCTTAGACAGTTATTATGGACGTAATTGATATGTGATGAAAATAAGGTTTTGCAAATAATGATTTATTTTGGATTAATTCATTGTTGAATGATGTGTGATAATTTAAAATTTATAAATGGAATTATAGCTTTCTGGTGAATTTTTATGCATTTATATTTTGGAGGATTTTCTCATTTCGTTTTATAATATAAACTCTAGCGGTAACAGAAATGGTGCCTGGTGGAAATGATTCAGTATGTATCTGCAATATTTAATTTAACCTACACTGATGATTTTATAAGTGCTACTGACGAGGATACGTTTTTTCACTATGTTATTAACAGGTGCTTACTGATAGTGAAACTATTGTCTAGGGGTTAAGATTTGGCATCAGTTTGCACTTTTTTTCTACAAAAACAGTGGAGTACTGAAGGCAAAACTGTCTCAAAATGCGCCAAAGCTGTTTGGTGACAAAAAAAATTTATTTCAAAACTGGTACGTACTAGCAAAAATCAGTTCCAAAAAAATATGGAAATGGGTCTAAAAGCGATCTGCTATTGACATGAGTTTACAGCAGACTGAACTTGGAATGTTATAAACGAGTCACATCAAACATCGTAATTGTGTTTTACAAATAATAGTTTCTGCTTATGTAGTTTTAATGCCAGAATTAAATAAACACTGTTTGAAATAATGAACTTGGTAAAGAAGAAAAAAAAATTAACTGGTAATTAACAAAAAACATAGTATTAGATAAAAGAAAATTCATAAATGCTTTAAGGTCAACTGTACAGTAAAATTCAAGAGTTTCAAATTTTAATTATTTGGAATCTTTAGTGATAAGAAATAGTTCCATAAGTGATATTAAAGCCAGACTTACAGCAAGAAACTGATATCACTACAAAACAATTATGAGAGCAATTATAGTCTAAAATTACTTGCAGTTGATACCTTGTTTTGCAAAATATTTATAGCTAAAATCTTGAAGTCAGACTTCAATACAATCTAAAACTTTCTACAAACAAAAATTACAATTAAAACGAAAAAACTTTATGTAAGCAATTAATTACCTCCAACTCATTTAAAAACTCTCGTCACCTAATTGTGATAAAAACTTCAGAATTTTTAAGTGTTTTAATTTTTTATAAAATTCTATATTGTGTATGCCAGCAAATATTTTTTTTACATTTCGTAGGTTTTATTTATTTATTAATTTTTGTTTTGTTTTTGTTTATCTAAACTAGTTATTGACCTTCAATGTTATACTTCACTTTCTTTTGTATATTTAAAATCTAAGTTTGTCCTTTTTAATCATATATGAAAATTTGTATATGAATTAAGAAGTATTAAGATTTTTTTTAAATCTAAATTTTCTTTCTCTAAGATGTTGCTTTGTAAAATAATACTAATGAAAAAACTACAAGAATTTGGGAAGAAATTTAAAATATCTTACATGAAGTAAATGTGAGCCTTTATCACCCAAATTGTAAAGTTATTCTTGTTAAATTGTTTGTTTTTATTTTAGGTGGAAACTGAACTGAAAGACATTTGCCAAGATATTCTGGATGTACTTGATAAACATTTAATCCCTACTGCCTCAACTGGAGAATCTAAAGTTTTCTATTACAAAATGTTAGTATTAACTTAAGACAGAGATATTATTTATTCAACTATACTGATTGTTTTATTTACTTAACATATAAGGAGTATTAACTGTGTCCTGATAAAAGTGGAGCTTTCTGGGGTTAAAAATAATTATAAAATGCTTTGGCTCTGCATCAACATTTTAGTAAAGCATTATGTACCTCAGAACCTAAATCAATGCAATTCTCCCATTTGCTGAACAGTTGAAACTTTAATATCTCCTAAAAGCAGAAAGTAAAAAATCTTATTAGTGTTGCATAATTTGCAGTCACATCCCTGTAAGACAATTGGTATTAAACTTAAAATTATGTCGAATTTGAATAAAATTAAAAATTATAATACAGTAGGGAATCGATTATCCGGAACGATCAGGACCATCCCTATTCCGCATAACTGATTTTTCCGGTTTTCTGAATCACTACAGAAAGCCGTTTTTTTATTGTTAAATCCAACTGAAAAAAAATATTTGGAAATAATCTTAAAAAGAAGAAAAAACAATGAAGTAATACACTAATGATTGTTTCCAAAATGATGGTAAGGTAAACATCTTTCAAAAAAGAAAGAAAAATCTTATGAGGAAAAGAAAATAATTTTTTTGAAATGGCGGGAAAATTTATTGAATTTCGTTCCGGTTTTCTGAATTCCGGATAACGGGTTCTGTACTGTATTTACCTCTCCTATCGATAAATTACGTTAAATATGCAAATTTTTTTCTTTTAAAAAAGGTTACTTATTAATTTTTCTCCCTGTTTTAAAATTTTATGAAATTTATTTTTTATTTCTTAATGTTTTCTTTGTAAACATTTTGTAAAATTTCTTGAATATTAACAAATTAAATTATATCACTTTGCGAAATGATCCGTCAAAAAAATTTATGCAAACAATACTTTTTTATTTGAGAATACTGGGCTTAAATCAGAAGTAGATAAAAATGTAAATATAATATAGACATGTAATATTTTGATTGATCTTCTGAAATTGCATAGGGTAGGACATTTTTTCGCTCTATCGAAACTAAATAAAATTACATTATATAAGTAGTTCGCACAAAATTTTTTGATTGACTTATTTTTAAAATTATGAATGAAATTTATTTTACTTCGCACAATTATTTTTAAAGTAAGGCCAGAAATATTTTTGTTCACACTTGAAAATCTGCACCCTGTACATACACTTTTTTCTTGCTCAAATTTCAGGTATTTTTTCAATTATTTTAATTGTTTTTTGCAACATTTTTGGATTTCATTTATTTGGATTCAGTTATTTTGGTTTTTTACCAAACTTATCCTTGTGGTATGAATCAATATAGTTCTATAAATATTAAAAAATTTTGAAAGATCGAAACTAGTTACGAGAGTTAGTTAATGCGTGAAGAAAGGCTTTTGCATTGAGATTTTGTTTGCTGAAAGTTTTTCATTTAATCTAAGTTTATATGTATGTAGCTGTATATATATATTAATTTATATCCAATCAGCAAAATAACTTGGGCTTGATTTTATGAGACCCGTTAAGAAGCCAAACAAGGGAGAAGTTAAAAGATATGTATATGAGAAGAGAAAAATTTTAATAGTGGGCGTATCCTGATAATGATTTTCTTTTAAAAAAAAAAAATAATAAATTTTAATAGTACTTAGAACATACTTATTTTTTGTTGAAAAATGTGTATGTACTTTGAAATGCTACTAGGCAGATAAATACTTGTTTTAAGCATTACTATTATCTTTCTTTAGGAAAGGTGACTATCACCGTTATTTGGCTGAATTTGCTACTGGCAATGACCGCAAAGAAGCTGCTGAGAACAGTCTTGTGGCTTACAAGGCTGCCAGTGATATTGCAATGACGGAGCTGCCCCCAACCCATCCTATCCGCCTGGGTCTTGCCCTTAACTTCTCTGTTTTCTACTATGAAATCTTAAATTCCCCTGATAGAGCATGCAGATTAGCAAAAGCAGCTTTTGATGATGCCATTGCTGAGCTTGATACATTAAGTGAAGAAAGCTACAAGGATTCTACTCTGATAATGCAGCTGTTGCGTGACAACCTTACATTGTGGACGTCAGATATGCAGCACGATGGTGAGTAACATTTTGAAAGAAATTGGGTATCCTTTTGTCTAAAATATATAAGCCTTTTTTTTCGTGTGTTGTAGCTTTCTATAAAATTTTAGGACTTAGTAAATATATTAATGAAGTCGATAACTTATATTCAGCGGTTACTATATAGCGGAAGAAGCCCTTAGTTTTGCTTTAACCTACGAAAGTAAAAGATGATTACTCGTAATACAAAATTATAAGATGATTACTCGCGATTGAGCCGTGGGAGAGTAATCTTCCAAATATTTTTTGAAACTTTGTTTACTGTAATTCATCTGATCTCACTTTCTCAAAGCTATTAAATTTAAGATAAACTATCCCTAACTTAAGCTGGAAAACAAAATCTGGGGTCCATTTAAAAATGTTCATATAAGTCAAAAAGCATAGTATATAATCGGGGGTCTGTCCAGGCCGAATTTACTACCGTTTAGCGGTACCTTCACAAATTCAATTTTAGGTAAAATGGTAGTTTCACAAATTCAACTTTAGGAAAAACTAGTTTCACAAAATACTATTTCTTAAAATTTTATTTTTGTATCCCTTAAGAAACGATAAATCTATATTTTAACCATGTTTTTGTATTGATTTTTTAATTTATCACAATTTATGTCTAAATTTTCACAAAAGGTACCTTTCACAAAAACTTAGACAGACCCTTGATAATTTTTATTTATTTTTTTGTTCACGTCTGTATTAGGTTGGTTACTTTTTAAATCACTTGATTTTTTTTAATTGTTAATTTTAATCACCTGGTAATTTTTTTGAAGAAATAATTAATTTATGTGGAAAATATTTTATATATAATATTTATAAATATATTTACAAGCTTCTGATTATTATTTTTTTGGGGGGGGGGTTAATTTTATTGATATTAAACCTTTATTTAGAAAAATAATGAGAGGGTAATTTATGCAAATAATTTCATGTTCAAAATGACTAATAAGTTTTCTGTTTCATTGGCATATTTCAATTATACTTTTTCAGGTTTATGTTTATTTTGATGCAATAAATTTTAAAATTTAATAAATAATTGCATATATGATTAATAAAGAAAGACTACATGTTCTGGCAAAAGAAAATTTTTATTGAAATTAATTTATTTTTTATTTAATCTCTTGACTGAAAAATTTGGTCTGTGTCATGGTTAAAAATAAAAATGTTAATTTCATATTATTCAATATTTTATCATGGTTTGAAATTAAATGAATTTTTATATCTAAATGAGTATTTTAAAGCATTAAAATAGAAATAATAACGCAAAATATTCATTTGAAAAGGAATTAAAAAATTCTAATTTTAATATTTTGTTATAATACTTATTTATTAAGAAGATAAAAGAAAGGCAAAATTGTTCCAGCCTGTACTCTACGTCTGTTCTTTTCAAAGTTACATATATTATAATCTAAGTACACTAAGTCCAGGGTGCGTACAGACTCCTTAGAAACTCCTTGGAAATTAAAAAGTCTCCAAGGAGTTCTTGGAACTACTTAGATTTTCAAATTAGTCCTTAGAAACTCCTTAGATTATTGCTTTGCATAGATGAACTTGCTAAGTCCGCTGAGAAATTTGCTGTCCAAGCTGGGAAACTAAATGATATGCAGTGGTGCTAGTGCTGCGCCGATCCGAGCCAATTGTGGAAACCTCAGGGTGCGTACAGACTCCTTATACTCCTTGGAAATAAAAAAAGTCTCCAAGGAGTACTTGGAACTACTTAGATTTCCAAATTAGTCCTTATAAACTCCTTAGATTATTGTGTTGCATAGATGAGCTTACTAGGTCCGCTGATGAATTTGCTGTCCAAACAGGGAAGCTAAATGATGTGACTTAGCTGTCAAAATCTAATAGTTTAAGAAAAACTTTAAAAAAAAATGAATTGCAAGAGTTAGAAGAAAAAAATAACAGCAAATAATTTTAATTTTACATGTTACAAGCAAACTTAGTTAATAATTTACATTGATTTTTTTTTATTATTTTTTTATTTTTATAAAATGCCTTAGATTTTCTTCTGTATTCAAATTTAAAAATATAAGATTGGAAGGTTTTTCTGTTTATCTTTAACATCTGCACTATGTACTTAAACCAGGTTTATTAGAATATTTGAATATGGAAAATGAATTTATGTGTGAAAGTGATAACTTTGTTTTTCTTGATTAAGTTTGACAAAGTCAAAATCTATTTCAAAAGAGCTAGAAAAAATATCTCATACAAAATACAGTCAATTCGCTATAACTCGAATATTACTATAACTCGATTTTTTTTTATGAGGTCCCGACCCTTTTATCTTCAATTTCATGTTAATTATTCTCTATTACTCGAATTTTACTCCCTTTAACTCGATTTTTTTGGGATCTTTTAAAGCAAGAAAAAAAATCTAGGAGCTGATATCTTGCCCCTTCCTTTGCAACACACACACAATGTCTTTCGCACTCTTCATGGAGAAGCTAAAGCTGTCCCTCTTGAAGTATGTGAACAGTGGTTAAATGAAACGTTACCAAATTTACTTCAAGGATACAGTTAAAATGAGGTTTTCAATATTGATGAAATGGGTTTAATTTTTAAATGTCTTCCAAATAAGACTATGATGTTTTAGGATGAAAACTGCTATGGGGGTAAAATGAGCAAGGAAAGTTTGACTGTCCTAGTTGGAGGAAATGAGTCTTGGACAGAGAAATTGCCCTTAGTTGTTATCGGAAAATACCGAAATCCCCGATGTTTCAAGAATATAAAAACATATCCTTTGGATTACAAGTCTAACAAAAAGTTTTGGATGACATCAGTTTTATTTGAAGACTATGTAAGAAAATTGGATCAGAAATTCTTCGCTAAAAAAAAAAAACTGATACTCTTTATGGATAAATGCACAGCGCATTGTGATCTACTTAATGTGAAAGCATTAAACTTGCAGTTTCTCCCGCCAAACACAACAGCAAAGTTGCAGCCAATGGACCAGGGTATCATAAAGTGCTTCAAACAGTCTTATCGAAAATGGCTTGTCAGAAAAATGATCTTAAATTTTATTAGCAATTAGAAGATTTGCAATTAATAAGCATTAATTAAATAATCCGACAATATTTTGAAAGTCCAAAACCGAAACTAACGGTAAGTCGAACTTCCGATATGTCGAAGTTTTCCGTCAGTCCCATCAGATTCGAGTTATCGCGAATTCACTGTATACATTTTTACAAGTTCTTATAATAACTGCTTTTTAATTTTCAAAAAAGACTGTCTAGTTATCTTTTAAACAAAGTTTTTAAATTTTTGATAAGTTTCGGATTAAAATTTTGAACTCCTTGGATTTCTTCTTCTGATCTCCGTATGAACCCTGGGAAACCTGCTCCTACATGCCCCAAATTGAAGTATTTGGTATTTTGCAGCAACCAAGCTACTGCCATGTGAGTTGCTCTGGATTCAGTGGGAAGGATTCTTGCACTTTCATGTGCAACTCTGCTTTGTTTTGCAATATATTCTCAATTTCAGGCTTCATTTTCCACTCTCTGAAATGGAACCAAAACTTCTCGAATTTTCGGGGACCAACTAAACATTGCAAAATTTTAATAGCAAGAGAATTTTATTTCTCTTGTTAATTTCATACCCATAAGTGCTATCAACTTCGTACATGGCAAGCTAATGGCCTTCTTGCGCTATTCTATTTATAGATTAGTAGTATGATGTTTGAATTAATTTAAGGGACCATTCACTGAGTACATATTTTCATGTTGATCCTCAGAGCAGTCAAGAATCACAAAGCTTCATAACCTCAAATTTCCATCTCCCCTTTATTCATTAATTTAATAAAGATAAAAATTGAGTTTCTTAAACGTAATTTTTTTATCTGAGGGACCATCCACTAATTGCATATTGTATTTAAACATTAATTTTACTTAATTGATTTTTTTTTAATAAAATTTTTCTGTTTTTTACTTATTGCATTTTATTATTGTATTATTACTTTCAAAATTTTCAGTGCTCTTATTTTGTTCAAGGAAAAAACTTAATAATTAGAGGCAAGCATGAAGAGAGGGGCTTGCAATATTTTAAATGCAGCAAAAAATCTTATGTTTTTCAAATTTGTCATTCAAAAATACTTTAATTCTCTTTAATTATTTACAAAAATACTTAATGATTTAAAAATGATCTTTGATTTAAAACAATTGATATAAAAAATTTTATTATCACAGATTTGTGAAATATTATGAGTGTAGGGAGAATATAATAATTTACTTCTGACAAATTTTTTTAGCTTCAATACTCATTGAATTTGCATTTAAAAATTATTTAATTTTTTTTAATCATTTCATTAATGAAATACTGTACTAGGTAACCAATTTTAATAAAAATTTATTAGGGGCTTAATTCTTTACATATTTTTATGAATTCAGTATGATCAATATTAATCTTGTTAATGTTTTGTTAAATATGCTATTATCAATAACATTTATTAAAATTTTAAAGAAAAATACACTCGATAACCTTAAATAATAGTTAAATTAATTAGACTTGAATTATCTTTTACAGAATTAAATAAAGTAATTATTAATTTAGAAAATAGTATGAGCCACGTATATTGAATTTATTTAAATTGCTTTTGCCAAAAGCTCTTTTTTTTCTTAAAGAAATATTTTGGCTGTACTATTAAATTAATTTTTAGGTCTTTTCCAAACTGAGACACCATTGATTCACTTGCTGTATGATGAAATGGTGTCTCTAGTTAAGGCATTGTTAGGGCGTTTTTTAAAGAGTTCTGCTTTTCTTAGTTTGTCAGGAAAGGACTTAAAATCATTGGATGTAGAAAACGCAGATATTTGGCAAAATTCAAATTTAATAGATGTTGGACTAGATACCACAAATGTGATTACATCCTTATCTTCTTCAGAAAAAAATTCTATGTATTTAGGTGCCAGGTCTATGGCATGTGCAAAAAAGTTATTAAAGGCATTGCCTTTTGAAAATAGGTTAGTATTCCATATTCAAGTGTTGCATCCTGTAATGAGAATGGAAGGCACTTCTATTAAGGCATCTTTGTTCCTAGATGAATGGACGAGGTTACATAGAAAACCAGAAGGTTATTCTTCTGATTGAAATGAATATGCACCAATGGATACGTTTTGGAAAAACTATTTTGTGAAGATAGAAAATTTGAGAAATATCAAATATCCTCTTTTAGCAAAGCTTTTTAAATCTCTTTGGTGCATACCACATGGGAATGCTGATGTTGAAAGAAGTTTTAGTGTGAACAAAAAGCTACTTGACAATAGGACAAGTTTAAATTCACATAGTTTTATAGGTTTGAGACAAGTTGTGTCGCATATCAACAAAATAGGGAGTTTAAATAACTTTAAAGTTGACAAAGATATGATTAAAGTGGCTCGTGCAGCATTTAAAAATTATTCTGCTCGATTAGAGGTTAAGAAAAAAGAAAGTGAAAACACTGAAACTGAGGAGAGCAGATTGAAAGCTGCTGAAATTGATTTGCAAAAAAAAATTGAAGGCTTCTCAGGATCTCTTAGCCACAGCTGAAAAAAATATTAAAGATGGGTTAAATAATATAACATGTCGATTATAGAAAGCGAACAGATCCTCTTATCTGAGGAAAAGTCGAGGTGAGCAGAATATTTAACAGCATTGGAAGATACCAAATAGAAACTTAATTTTTTAATGCATGGACTTTCATAAAAATGAAAAAAAATAAGACACGTTATTAATGAACAAAATTGAAAATTCTTGTTATTAAATTCTTGTTTTAATTCTTTTTATTACATATGCTCCAAATCTTCGTTTCACTGCTCCAAAATTGCCTTTTTGTTGCTCTAAAGCCACATTTAGCCACTTGCACCACTGGATATGACTTAGCTGTCAAATTCTAGCAGTTTAAGAAAACTTTTAAAAGAATAAAAATTGATTTGCAAGAGTTAGAAGAAGAAAAATAACAGCAAATAATTTTACATGTTACAAGCAAACTTAATTAATAATTTGCTGTGATTTTTTTTCTTGCTATAAAATGCCTTAGATTTTCTTATGTATTCAAATTTAAAAATATAAGATTGGTAGGTTTTTATGTCAATCCTTAACATCTGTACTTTAACAAGATTTATTAAAATATTTGAAATTGGAAAATGTATTTATGTGTCAAAGTGATAACTTCATTTATTTCTCTTGACGAAGTTCGACAGTCAAAATGTATTTCAATAGGGATAGAAATTAAATTCAAAATATACATTTTTGCAAGTTCCTTATAACTGCTTTTTAATTTCTAAAAAAAAAAAAAACTATCTTTTACACAAAGTTTTTAAATTTTTGATAAGTTCTTAAAATTTTGGACTCCTTGGATTTCTTCTTCTGATCTCTGTATGAACCCTGACTAAGTCTTAAAAATTAAACTGTGTATATTTGTGTATTACGCATTTATATTTTAAAGTCAAATAAAAAAACATGAGCCCAAGTTCATTTTTTTTTTTTTAAAAAAAACACCTGGGTTTGTGGGTGAGTCAAAAACCCTGGTGTTTGCCTGTATAAAAGTGAAGTTTTCAGAAGCATTCGTACTATTGAAATCATAAAAATATATACATAAATGTGTCAAGCATTTTTTTTACTTCCCCTAATAATTTCAAACCAAAATATATTTTTGACATTAATATAAAATTTTAAAATCTGGTTGGAAAAGTGCTGTTTATTCCTTAAAATTCCACCCAAAGCAATACCTTCAAACTTGTCGTCATGTCTATTTCTTTATAATTTTTATTCTTGTCTATACGTGAAGAAGAGCAGTTTTCCCGACACGGATCATCTTCACTATGTCAGAACTCTCAGGCAGCCTTAGTTAAGATAAAACATTTTCTGCACAAATTGATTAGCCCTTAACTAGTCGCTCTCGCATTTTGACAAAAAAAAATTTGAAGAATTTTTTTATTTACGAATTTTTTTAAAAAATAAGATAAAAATAGAAATTCAAAAATTTTATGTACAAAAACACTTTTCAAATATTTTAAATTTGAACAACAAAAAGTGTATTTCGGAAGCATTTATCTGCAGAATGTTAGCTAGTTTTAATAAAAATATTGATGCTAGATTTTTATTTAAATTGTGTGAATATGAATCTTAATGTGTGGTTTTTATTTCACAAGAATACAAATATCTGTTTAATTTTAAAATCGCATGAATATGAATTCTCATGAATAATTTTTAAGACACTTAAACGCAAATCATGATAGTGGCTCTTAAATCTTGTGCATACGAAACATTATGCCTGATCATAAATCGCATGAATAGGAATCGTGAGGTTCGAATTGTGTTATAAATCCTATGGGTATAATCTTAACTCTCATTTGCATCAGTAGGAAAAAATTTGATGTTTCTTTTTTAGTAATAGTAAACAATTTTCCTCAAACTGGATTCACACGTTAGTTTATATTATACAGATCTGCTCTCAGGTAAAACTGATATCCCACTTAATGGGGGACTTTTTGTTTTCCTCCTTAGCCTTTCATTATTAAGAATTTTAGTATGAATTGTTAAGTATTGTTATAGTTAATAGTATTGAGCATTATTAATGTAATCAGAACTTTGATTTCTAAAGGTTAAAGAAAAAGTTAAGTGTTAAATTTTACTTATTGCTAAAGAAACCAAAAAATATTTTTAAATACAATTTATTGCGTCAAAATTAAGTCTATAACATGAACAGTAATTAAAAGTATCTGTCACTTTCAGTTTACATAATTTAACAAATCCATTATTAACACATCTGTTTAGCGTCATTGACCAAATTATGACTTTTTTGCCATAGCTTACAAATGACTGATCTGAGATATTTTATAGGTGAAGGAGAACAGAAAGAACAAGTTCAAGATGTTGAAGATCAAGATGTTTCATAAGTCATTTTATATTCATAAATAATGTGTTCCATTAATTTGTTACAATGTGAGATGGTTTTTTTTTTTTTCTTTTATTGCCATGTAGGGTATTTCCTTTGCTCATATTCGATCAGCAGATGTTTTGTGTCTGTAAAAGAGTGCGAGAGAGTGTTCCCTCCTAATCAGGAACTTGTCAGCCGCAATTACTTTTGGTTAAATGTATATTTTTAGACCACGTCTGAAATTAGGTTGAATTTGTTTTGTTTATGTCTACTCAGAAGTTATGTATAAATTTTTTTTTTAAATATTTTTTTATTACTTAATTGTATTTAATTTATGTATTCCTGCATACTGTTTTGTGCTTACCCAGAAAACTGTGCATGAACTATTTGAGTTTCTTTTTTTAAAAAAAAAATTATTTAAACTTATTTTTCAATATGTCTGTATGTATGCATGTTTAAAAAACTATGTGTGCGGAATTCCGCTTTTTACTAAATATGTAATGGAAAAAGGTCTTTATTTAAAATAGCCTACATATATTTGTGTGTGTATACTTGTCTGCTTTATACATTCTTTAATGCTTTTTTAAACTAACAATTTTTTAATGTATTTCATTTATCAAATTAAAAGTGTTTGTGATCGTTTTAGCAACTTTCTCAAAATGAGTATTTTGTCAGTTTTAAAAAAAAGGAAATTATTCACATTCAAATTTTACACACACAAACATATACTCACTGAAATTTTTAGAGCATAGTTTAAAAGCAGCTATGACTTGGCAAACCTTTTTGCTTTTTTCTCATATCTATCTATATATATATATATATCTATATCCTTAGAGTTCAATTAATTCCCTTCAAAGCAATTTTTTTTTGTCTTAATTTTTAATTTATGAGAATATTTCACACATGAAAAGAAAGAAATATCCACAGACATTTTCATACTCAGGCATAAGTAGTGTAGCTCTGCGTGTCATCCTAGCTACTATAGAATTTTTTGAAGGAAAAAAAATAGTTTTACCTTGATGTGACGAAAATTGGCATATAGGGAAAGGTATGAGTTACTTGTAATTGCTTTTAGATGAGAAATTACATTTGGATTTAGCTTTGTCAAATTAAAAAAATTTTTTACAGTACTTTACGTTCAGGATCACTTTTTTGAAATAAAACATCTGCTTTGAGAAAAGATTTTTTTTTTGTTTTGTTCACTAAATCTTGTACAATTTTCTTACAGCAATCTATTTTCGTAATTATCGACTTGTATTTTAATTGATTTTGACCTTAAAAGAAGTACTTGAATTTTTATTAAAAATGTTGCAAATATATCTTTCGTGTTGTGACTGTTGACCTCTATTTTTATTGTTCTTAAACACACACTTTTAGCTTTAATACTTGGTGTAGTTTGTTTAAAAGCAAAGAAATTAAAAAATACTGGCTCGTATCCCATTTAATGCATTGTATTCACTAATTTTGGCTCAAAGTTTAACAATTTTTTTTTCTTTTTTATTTGTACGTTTCTCGTGAACTGGTGCTAAAATTCTTGTAGCTTTTTCCTATAAGGATATCTCTGCGTCAAGTGTTTAGTGTTTGATGTAAGTGGATGTCTAAAAGTCTTAATGATATTTACTTAACTTGATTTTTTATTTAATTCTCCATTGCAAATTTGAACAATCTTAAAACTTCTATTTTCACTGAATATCTCAGTGCAATTCTAACCTGCAAGAATTTTTTTCACCAAGTTTATTTTAACCGTAAATTTTTAACTCGCTTACACTTAATAAAACTGTTCTATAGATTGCATGATCAACTGTCAAAAAATTTATCTTTCGTTCTGCATTTTTTGTTGCGGCATTAAAAATGAATTATATACAGAATTAAATCAAATTTTCAACAACCAAAAAATTTCCAGTGCCTTGGAATAGTGATAATGCAGTTGCAATGTAAATTTTTTTTTTGATTAATTTTATTTGTGAATTTAAAAATACTAACCATTAAAATTTTACAATTCACTTTAAATGCATTTCTAATTTAGTCATTGACAGTCTACTTATTCCTCATAGGCTACTGTAGTACTTGCTCATCTCAAGACAACAAAATAAAATTGCTTTTTATAAATAAATTAAAAGAAATCTTTATTTGTGCAGTGAAAAGTATAATTTATTGAGCCTCCAGAATATCTGTACAAATGTAAAACAAAATTCCATTCCTTGTGTATACAAGTGGTACTGTATTTCTGACATCTTTTTCATTCCATCTGTAGAACAGAAAACATTGTGTGCTTTTTGTACAACATATTTGTTAGTTATTGCTATATATACAGTCATTCCAGCGGAATGTAGAAGATATCTCAAAGTGTGTTTTATGATGTAATAAACTAATAAATGTCACATCCTGGTTTCCTTTCATCTTTTTAAAATTGTTGTCCAACTCTTATAAAGAATTTTCTAGAGATATAATTCTATAGACAGTTATAATTCTATTTCTAGAGACATTTATAGATATGAGAGAGAAGAGCATGTACTATTTTAAAAAGTATCCTTAATTTCTAACGTCAAAAGTGTCCATTTCGTAATCTTGAGGAATTTTTTTCAGATTTTTTAATAAAATATTTCTGACATTTTTAAATAAACAAAAATGCTTCAGTCGACTTGAAGTGGTCTGGTAATTGTCTCAGGTGAAGAAGTTCAGAAAAGCAATATTATTTATAAGAATTAATATAATACATAAATGCTGATTGAATTTATAGGGATGAAGCCTATGTTAACTGTCATTTCATAAAGTTTCTTTCTGATCTAGAATATCTCTTCTTTTTTTGGGGGGTGCGTGTTACAAGATTAACTAGAAAGTAATCTTCTGGGAAAACATTTTTGGATATTGATCGAATTTTGAAAAGCTTTGTTCTTGAGCTTTCAATGGTAAAAAAATCAGTAATGTGCTTTCGCAGAAAGTTAGTAACTTCATGAATTGAAGTTCTTTATTGAATATTGAAGCAAGTAATAAAGCTAAATAATTAGATTAAGCAAAACTCTTATTTAGTAGCTCATCTCATCAAAATATGAACTGTGTTTGGTATTATCTGGCATACTTTTGCTTGAGATAACACTTATTTAAAATTTACTACAATGAAGTTACTTTTTATTATTATATTCGAGGGGCTGTGAAGAATCTATCATAAAAATGTACAGTATTGGTGCAACTGTTTATGAGTAAAAAACTTATAAAATATTTTTTTACACATATAAGAGTACAGTGCAGTGATCAAAATTTATCATTGGTGTCGATAATGCGATGGTGATTTTTTACGGTTCCCATGTTCATTTTCTCAGTAAATTTGCTTTTTAGTTTATTTCAATTACAACTTATTACCAAAATTAGTTGAGCATCATTGGCGACAAGTTTTCGTGAGATTCATGTTCCTTTTTTAGAGCTAAAGGTTACAGGATCACAGCTACACGTATTCTTTATTGGCCTTCTTGGTGACTTTCCGTTATTAGATTAAGCAAAAAATATTTTTAGTAATAAATCCCATCAAAATATAATCTAACTGTATTCAGAATCCTCTGGCATAATACTGTTGGCTCGTGATAACTCTTGATATTTAAAATTTACCACAATCAAGGAATTATCTTCTTTAATAAATATCTTTAAAAGGGCTGTAAAATTTCTATCTTAAAAATGTGTAGTATTTCATGCAGCTGTAATCGGCATCAAATTTACTCAAAAATATTTTGTACCAATATAAGGATATATTTCATACCTATTAGCATACCTGCCAAGTCTCCTGTTTTTTACGACTATCTCCTGTTTACTCGTATGTCCTCAAATTTCTCCGTATTAGTTGAAAGAAATTTTTGGCAATAAAATATCCGCTGATGAAAAAAATACTTCTTATTCCTCAACAGATGGTGCTATTGTCAGTGCTGCAGTATGTTGAGTGTTAATAGTTTGAGTAATTATAAATGACAGTTTAAAAAAATCTTCAGATTAAGATTTACATTTTTTACTTCACACTAAATGTAAGTGTCTTTTGACTTACATGATGCATCAAAACTTAACTCGTAGCCTAAAAAATTTCGCTACTAAAATCTCCGTTATTTTATTTCTCCAATTATGATGCCAATACTACCTATTAACAAAATTAGGCATCAATAATAGTAAGGCGACTTTTTGCGGTTCATAGTAGGTTTCGCCAAATCTGCAGCTGTCAAGATGTGGGTGATACCTTTCACGTGTGTTAGTGGGCATCCAGTTGCCCCCCTCCCTAAAAGGAGCTTGGCTTAATATTCTCTTGACATGATATAGCTATTTTCTCTTGGCGCTTACCTGATGAAGAGGCTGCTATATTGCCTGGCATGAAAGAGGATTTTTTTTTCTCTCTCAAAAAGAGAGATCGAATTCTTAGCTTTCAGAGGGAAAATTTTCTAAGAATGAACGAAGCGAAAGTGCAATCGCTTTATTTTGACTAACCACCATTTTAGTAATAGCTTAGCTTGTCTGGTGGATTTATGTAGTGTTTCTGCAATTTGAAATGAACCATAGAACATTTTTTCTGAACATTGAAAATATTTTGACCTAAGTCATTATTAACAGTTACGTTACAAAAGTATTAGAATTTTTTTAATTGTAGCTCAACTCTAATTTTTCATTGAGCACAATTATTACATTAATTAAATTTAATGAAATCAATCGCAATGTTATTATTATTATAATTAATAATTTTAAACTAAACAATTCATCTGCATGAATGAGGTTTGAAAATGAAACACATATAAGAATTTAACATAATAAGATGATTTCACCATAAAAACATAATTAGAAATTATAATTTTGTTTCAGGATTTTATGTATTTCTATGTACTACTGATATTTAAGCCATGATACAGTCTTACAAAGTATTTTTTTCAGAACTAAATTAAATTCGCATGTCATGTTCAGTACAAAACTGAGAAATCATTCAATAGACTCTAATTGTATTGTTGAATTCCATGCCAACTGAAACCAGTAGTAGAATTCCAAGCGTAACAGAGGGGATATCGCACATGTATTTTATCATAAAAAATGTAGTGAAAACAAAAAATTGTGCAATAATATGCTACTTTAAGGTGCAATGTTTAATTAAATGGCATGATATTTCCCTGTAACTATTTGTCAAATTTGCAAAATGTCCCCTCTGTTACATTGCATTTTTTGAAGTTTATAAAAATGTGTAAGCAATTTAAAAAGTCTTATAATAATTTATTTTACCATGTAATGTGATTCTTAAACAAAAAATTACAAATAATGTTTAGGATGTTCCAAATGACAGAATATAGCGGAAATAACAGTGCATGTGAAAAATGTGGGATTTTCTTCGTTCCCTCTTTTACGGACGCTTTTAAACCTGGCAATTAAATTATGAGGCTCTTCTATTATTCTATGCAATTAAATTAAATATTGCACCTTAAAGTAGCATGTTGCACAATTTTTTGTCTTCACATATATTTAATACATATTTTAGGATAAAATACCCGTGTGATTTCTCCTCTGTTACGCTTGGAATTCTACTACTGGTTTCAGTTGGCATGGAATTCAACAATACTATTAGAGTCTATTGAATGATTTCTCAGTTCTGTACTGAACATGACATACGAATTTAATTTAGTTCTGAAAAAAATACTTTGCAAGACTGTATCATGGCTTAAATATCAGTAGTACATAGAAATACATAAAATCCTGAAACAATGGAATTCTACTATATTAACAAAATATTTTCACGGCAATTTTACTTATTATTATCAAGCACAACATTGTTAAACGTGGTTTCATTATGAACTTATTTTTTTTTCAAACCGATTTCTTATTTTTCACAAAAAAAAAATTTTTGAAAATTTTTTAGTTTCCAGAAAAATCTACTTAATTAAATAAAATAAATTAAATATAACTTCGATTTTTATCGTACGAAATGAAGAAATGTAAATTAATTTCCTCAATCCAAACAATTTTTAACCAATGTGGTAGGAGACATTGAAAAAAGTTTGAATAGCAGAATCAAAAGTAAGTAGTTGAAAGGCGAATTGGAAATATTTCTCAAGAAATACTTCAAAAGTGAAATTTGGCCATGGAATTTCTCATACTTATTGAAAGGTTTAAGAGACCGGCAATAAATTACGAACGAAAACAAGTATTTTTGAACACCCTATGCCCGAAAATAAGACAATATAAGATTGTAACTTGCATTGACTACCTTGGTTGTTATTTGCAATAATTGCATAAAATGCTGAAAATCCATTTTACAGAGATTATGGAGATATTATTCTTATGAAAAAAAAAATTTTTTTTTTGGCTATAATTTTGCAAACAATCAACAAAATTTACGGAGCTATATTCAATGAATATTAAAATTGCTATTTTATAGTTAATATTAAAAATAGCTCAAAATATGAGCCTTTAAGATAGTTTTTTCACTCGACGCATAAGCGGAACAATTAGTTTTATCATTTTTTTTATATATACTTAACATTTTTATAGATTTATTATATATTCAACAGATGATTAAGGGTTTAATGCTTTTATTAAACAGTAATGAAAATAACGTCTTCCCTTTAAACTTATCGTCATGTAGATTAGGAAGGAAAAAAATATCACGTGATTGAAATTTTATCGCAGAAAACAAGGAACTCATAATTTAGGAGCTGGAACAAATTTTTTTTGTGAAAGGCCTTTTAAGAACTGTCTTTGCGTTTCATGAAGAGGAAAAGTACGAAATTCTTCCATGTTAGTTTAACAGCAATGGGACGCTTAACTTTTTTTTGAAATTTATTTTCTAACTTCTTGAAATTCCTAACCATTGAACACCATCATGCAAGAAATATTTAATATTTTATGTGGATGTAATAATTTTTATTAATAATTCTTTCAATTATTCTATTAATAATTTTTTATATGTTTACCCTACGAATTATCTAAGTAACTCTAAAGTTATAAAATAATCTTCTAAGTATTTCTTAAGAAAATCATGAAAACGTCAAAATCTTAAAAGTGTCTCTTCCATTATTGTAGTATAATGTGTATTATTATTACACAATTATTGTATTCTCGCACAAACATGCGAAGTAGGGCTTCTATTAATAGTCCACGCTAAAACATTCTTAACTCTTAGAATATGTTAAAATCACATTAAATTACCCTCCCATTAAAGGTAGAATTAATCATCTATGTCCTCAAAAATGAGATAAATCGGTTTTCCATTTGTGACCCTTTATCGTTTTTGGCGTCATAAAGGCTTGGCGAGTAACGATCTCCTTGGGCTGGTTTGATTTTTCAAGATTTCCTCCTCCTACTCCATTAATCATTCAAGTAAGAAAACACTTTTTGGCGAAACCTACAAGACAGCACTTTTTACGTCTTT